TTACTGTTGAATAGTTGGTGACCTTATATGGCTCACATACATTTTTTGAATGAAATTTACTTCATTAATTTTTCACTGCTTAATGTACTTTTGGCTTGAAAATTGATTCATTTAATACTACAATAGTAACTCTTTTCTTTTTCTAACATGGAAGTTACAGACATTAAACCATAGTAAAATTTTTACTTTCAAAAAGTGTGTGTTTTGAGTACAATGAGTTAGTGGTGTTTTAAATATATCAATATGTATTTTTCTTTCCTGAGTTCCTTTATTCCTAGTGAGTTTATCCTCGGTCTTGAGGAAGAGGGTGAAGAAGGAGGGAATTAGAATGGTTACCGAAGGAAAGAAAAAGTAAGAAAAATTACTTAGTTTTTTTTTACACTTTGAAGACAAAATAATAGGCCTGAAAGTTGGCTTGAACATTATCATTTATTGTGAAAAAAGAATTTCCATGTGTGATATAACAGGACCAGGTTTGGCTATAACTGAGAACCGCCCCCCCCCCCTCCATTCTTTCCACAGCTTGGCTGTCCATCTTCCTACGTAAGAAGAACCCGTGTTCTTTCCTTGCTGTGCTAGTTCAGCTGGAGTCTCTGATCATTGTTACCAAGGGTTCTGTCTTTTCAATTATGAGAGGTGTGGCTTTTTGCATTTTTCTAACTTTATCCGACAGTCAGCAGTTAGTTCTCATCCACATGAACTGTTTGTAGACTTTTGAAAGTGGTGACAGGTACGTAGGTAACCAGCATAAAGAGCTTGTTGGGTGAATCTTCATCCTCATTATGTTCTCTGGACAACCGTGCCCATGGAACATTCCTTATCCCTTTGGCCCAGGCAGCTCTGTTGAGCCTGGTGTCAATGCCAACGTCTGGGGTTACGTCCTTCATGCAAATTTCCAGATCTCTTTGGGTGCCCAAGGGGCATGCTTCTTGGAGCCCATTCCCTGGATGCGCTTGTGAATGTTGATGGTAGAACGGCACTTCTCACCACCCTTCTTTGTGGGAAGCCATTATGAGGAGCACACGTTGGAAAGAAAGAGCACGAGGTATTGTCCCTGAGAGTCTTTTTTAAGCCTGGACTTTGTGGCTCTCCTCTCACCTGATAGCTCTTATCATCAGTATGTTTTGATTTGAGAAAATACAGTCAATACAGATGGGCAAAAGGATGCTCTGAACTGAGGACAGCTTATGGGTGAACTTTTATTCATCACATCAGCAGTGTTTGTCAAATAGGAGTAGTTGACGTCCAAGACATTGTTTATGCACTGTGTGAATGCTGTTCGGTGACCATACACATTGCAGGTTCCTTGAAATAACTCACAGCTCCACCCTCTTGTTCTCAAACCCAAAGTTGCTTAGTTCACAGGTTGAGAAGCAGTGTTGTAGGGTATCTTTCCCTCAAATTCATTCTCATCTGAGTTTAAATGAGCTCTTTCTTTCCTTTCTCCAACACCCAATTTGTTTATTTAGGCATTTAAACGTTTCTTGACTCCATCCCCTTTTCCATACCTCCTGCCACTGGTCTGGTCCGCCTGGCTTCCCCCAGGTGTACTGATGCAACAGCCTCCTACCTGGGCTCTTCTCTGTCCCTTCCGTCCAATCTCCATGCTGCAGCCAGAGGGGTCTTTCTGGTTGTGTCCTTTCCTTTGCCGGACATGCTGTCACTCATGTCATCATGAGACACGGGAGCCCTTGTTTCAATCACACTCAACTGCTTGGGTTCTGTAAACTCGTCAAGACCCTTTGCCCCTGCCCCAGCTGGGTGGCTTGGCTGCTTGCAGTGTTGTCCCACACATCAAAAAGGTTGCAGGTTTGATTCGCAGTCAGGGCACAGACTAGAGGCAATGATCAATGTTTCTCTCCCACATTGAAGTTTCTCTCTCTCAAATCAACAAAAACAAACAACCTTAAAAAAACCCATATCCTCAGATGAAGATTAAAAAAATAAAAAAAGAGCCCTAGCCCCGAGCTTTTGTTTGAGCAGCTCTGGCAGCAGTCTCTCCCACGGGGCAAGGCATGCTCGGCGCAGGTGTCGCTTATGAAACCTTGTTCTGGAAGCCCCGCGTCCTCCTGGCGTCCACTGCAGGTTGTGCTGTAACAGGCTTCGGTATGGACGTCCCCCCTGTGGGCTTTGGGGACAGGGACTTCTAGTCATGTTTGTGTCTCCAAACATCTCGAACAGTGCCTGGTACATAGTAGATGCAAATTCATGGAGGTCGGTGTGCTGTGTGTGGGGGCCTCTCTGAGGCTGGCTCCTGAGTGGGATTCTCGGTATTGCTGACTGATGGAAATGGGGGGTGGGGAATGGGTTATAATTATTTTCCCAATTCTGTTTTTCCCATATCCATCTTGTCTGAAAATGTTTCTCCTGAATAAATGAAGACTTCATTACACTTTGATTTGATCGCCAAGGCAACACATAACGTAGTATTTTAAACAGGTTTGAGTTCAAATTTTGCTACTTACTGGCTATGTGCCTTGCACATAATACTTAACCTTGTCATGCCTTTGTTTTCTCATCTGAACAGTGTGAGTTATTATAAAGATAAAATTAGAAAGTGCACGAAAGTGCTCAGCACAGGGCCTGGCACAGGACTTGCACAGTATGCACAGCTGTCGCCGCTCCCTTCAATGCAGAAAAGGCAGCGGTCCCGCAACCTGGATGCAGCTGGAGCCTTGGCCCAGGTCTGCACTGAGCTGCAATGGAAAGGCAACACAGTCTGACTGCAGAAGCCTGGGGGAGAGTCTGCTTCTCTGGTTAGGGCAGCCTTTCTCCACCAGGTTCATCTGAACCACAGAGCGCAGAATGACTGGGGTGACCGTTTCCTCTTCCCTGGGTGCTGCATGACTAAGACCGTTCTAGAGCTCAGGGAAGTGGATTCACTGCATACAATTCAGGGCTTGGGACACTGAGGCTTAACCTCCCTCCCTTTGAGAAAGGCTGCTCTGCTGCTTCTTGAAGACTCTGTGCAGGGGCTCAGCTTAGTACATCAAAGCCACACCCCCTAAGTCCTCTCTAGAAGCCTCTCCCTTTCCTTGAATCTTCTCACTTAACACCTCTCCCTCCCGTGCCCACGTTCTGCTCCTAGAGCCCCAATCACTGGTTCCATCTCCATGTTGTGCTCGCCACGTACCCACTTGTTCTGACCGGTGCCACCTTGCTGTTCTTGAAAGAGCAGCCCGCCTCTCACCATCCTCATGCACTGACACCCCCCCCCCCCGCCCCCTCGGGAATTACAGTGAAGCAAGTTACTGCCACGACCACCCAGCAGTACACATGATGGAGACCTTGTCTTTGCTTTTTCACTTGCAAACTTTTTAAAGTCACCTGGATCTCTCCTTGACCAAAACCACCTAACTGTCATGATGGGTACTACCAAGGCTCCTGCAGACCAGGGCCCTGTTGCAAAGCCACCTGCTCTTCCCGTGCTACTCCTATTCCTGCCGTTCGGAGCGCCAGGGCTCACGCTGGCCCCCAGGAAGATAGCAGGCGCCTTTCTTTTTTGGGGGGAGGGTTATGTCACGATGTCTTCTGTTAGTAAGGAAAAATAACACGGGCAGGCAATTAGCAGTGTTTACCGCAATTCATATAACGGAATATCATGTAGCCATTAATTTTTGAAGAATATTTATTGACATGGGAAAATGCTCACAATGTTAAGGAAGCAGGATACAAATCAGTAAATACAGCGTGATCCCAATCTTGTAGTAAAATAAATTATATATGCATAGAAAAAACACAGGACAGAAATACACTAGAACATTAACAGTGATATTTATCTCAGGGTGGTGGGATTTGGGGTGAATTATTTTTTAAATTATTTCCGGCATTTTTCAAACTTTGCACAATGAACATATATTACTTTTTACAATGGGGGCAGGGAGGAAGTCGATACAGGTGACACCCAGTGCTGGGAGGTGGCAAGACTGACGTGGTATTCAGGAGATACTTAGTACTTGTACTTGTCAGCCAGCATCCTTGTTTATAAAGGGATCACGTCTGTCCTGCCCGCCTCCTGGGACCACTGGGCATGTAAAAGGGTCTCAAGTGTCTGTTGATTGTTACTCCAAAGCAGCAGCTCAAGTGCCTTATTTTAGGACACATTCCTCCATATGGTGTCAAAGGTGAGGAGGGATGCGGCCGTGGGCCATGAGTTGTGTGTTCTGCCACCCCCACCACAGGCCGGCATGCAGGCAGGGGTCTGAAAGCCTGCAGCCCTGCTCCAGCCTAAGGACTCCAGGTCCTTGCTGGCGATGCATCGAACAAATTTCCCACTCACTTCAACCAAGTCACCTCTTCACATAGAAAGTTCTTGACTCTGGTTCTGCTGAAATAGTTATTGCTTAAAATGGCCTGAGAATTACCACTCTCCCAGCATTCCAGAGTCATAGGAGGCACAACGTGGACCCCGGTGGGCAGTGTGTTGAAGGGGAAGGAGATTTGGGGGTCGGGCCAGGGAAGCTGGGTAACAGGCTCTTTGGAGATGATGTCTAGTATGAGATGGATGTGATGAGGTTACATGACGAGACATACATAGAAAACCTGCACACAACAGGTGTCAGTTCTCTGTCCACGTGCAGGATGTGGTCACTGTCAACCTCTCCCCCTGCAAGTTCTTTTTTCACAACCAAGACTTAGTGCCCAGTGCAGGGGACCTGAAAGGCAATGCAACTCAGGTTAGGCTGCTCAACCCCGACCCTGGCAAGCGGCGGACACTGCCCCGCTGCACATGTCTTCATTTAGGGAGGCCCACACGCATGCCACAGCTATCAGATTGTAGAAATTATAAAAATATTTCAAAATGCATTTGTAGAATGAAGTAACAAAAATACTTAAATTCTTTTCTAAGCTTTTTTTCACTTAATCTAAAATTATGAATTGCCAAGTTTCATTTAACTGTTGTTAAAACTAGTCACCAAGAACTTCTACTCCCAACTGTTTTGGATGAAAATCCTAAAATGTATTGTATTCCCCCTAGTTTTTTTATGGAGTGTTCTGAATTTTTTTTTTTTTTTTAAGAAACAGGGTCATCCTTGAGAATCAGTCTATGGGCCAGATTGTGATATGTGTCATTCGGGAAACAGACTCTCCCAGATTTGTGACAGCTCAAGGAGCTTTCTCACTCCGCCCCCTTCCTCCCCACTCCTCCTGTGGGACTTTTCTGTGGGCCTAAAAGCCAGATAACTAAACATTTTAGAAATGTATGCAAATTTTAGTAGAGATTCTTGAGGCTCTCTCCGATGAGCAAACTGCAGGAAGGTTTTGACATCTCTCGTGGAGGCTCACAGGCATTTAAAAGTTCAATTCCTGTTTTGTTTTGCCAGAGAAGTGATTTCTGGATAACTGACATTTTTACTTACACCCCATGTGCCTATCCTTAAGGAGGCTATTTAAGTGAGATGTACAAGTACTTTTAAAAAGCATGAACTGGGAAATAGTTTACCCCATGTATCTGTAAAGAAACACACACAGATGGCTAAATTGAATCAACCCCAATGTTTTATTTAATTTAAAGTTTTAAAAGGCAGTGGTTAAGCACATTATCTATGTGTGTATATATGTATGTATACAAACATACATACATATATAAAAGGAAACCAACCCCTTTTCAACTTTAGCCACTGATTAACCAGGCTCACCGATTCATTTTCTACTACTTCATATGACCAATTTTTAAAGTAAAAATAAACAGCCTTGATCAGTTTAACAATAACTATTTGTGTTTCTTTTTTTTTTTAAATAAATAAGGTTACCGTTAAACTGATCATATGGTAGAAAGGTAGAACACACACATCAGCACACACACAGCCCCCATTTGAAACATGTGACATATGAATGACCTATATGTACAAAAGGGTGCTGTTGACCCCCTGCCCCAGCAGAGGCCACAAAGAACTCCCAGGACTCAGGAGTCCCCATTCCCTCTGCTGGGACACGTGTTCTTGGCACCCGAGTTAGACCTCAGAATGCATGCTCCCCATGCAGCAATACAGATGGGGGCTCAGTTCTCTGGTATAGTGTTCAGGTACGTGAGGGAATAAATAGGCATTGTAGCTGCCTCCGAACTAAACCGTCATTTTATAGGGAGAAATGTATTCTGAAGTTCTAGATAAGTGACATACAAACTTTCAGTGCAGTCAGTTTGCAAGTCCGGGGCTGTGTGTGTGTGTGTGCATTTCTATATATTTATACAAAACTGAAATGAAAAGTGGGGCGAGGTTTATGGAGCAGCTGCTTGGCTTCCATGTCGTCAGTCCTGATCTAACAAGTCACTTGCCTCAGCCCTTATTTAGCAGCTCTTTCTGCTTCCCGCATGCCTCCGTCTGCTGGAGAGATTCAGGAGGGGCAGCTCACACAAGTGAGAGGAAGGATGCGGCTAAATCTTCTGCTAAGAATCTTGGCAAATGACCTGCCAGATTCCACCAGGGCTGTGTTACAGTGAAGTCCTTCGGTTCCATCCCGATGAAATGGCGTTATTCTGCTGCTAGCCCCCGCAACTCCATCTAACTGCAGCTCTGCATGAATGCCTCAGGATCGCAAAAACACAGGATCACCTCTTAAATATGCTGGATTCTCAATGAGTAAACCAGTTAATGTGTTTCTAGCCAAAGCAAGGGCATAAATGTTTGAGAAAAAAGATTCCCCTGGAGCTACAGAGAAAAGATGCCAATAAAAGCAAGACTGAATTGAGCAGGTGATGGCTTTAGTCTGTGTCGGAGCTGGTCTCTTCGATGACAGAGTACTGGCTGAGTGCTTCCTCCAAAGGCGTTATTGTCCCATCAGGTTTTAGTCCCATTGGTTTAAGCAACTCCTCTCTGGAAAAAGAGATAAAAGAAAGAAAAAAAAGTATTCACCAGCATCACACACACACCCCTCCCTCCCGCCCCAATCCACATCCTTTTAAAGAGAAAAGTCTTTAAAAAACAAAGTATTTTTCCTCAAGCTCTCTGTGTGTTTGTAACAGGAAAGATGAAAGGGGCATGGAGAGAAAAAGAGGGAGATAAAAGACTTCATTCACACAGGCCAAACCTACTAAGCCAATTAAAGGTATGAAAAGTCAAGGTCTAAATGGCTCAGGACAAGGAGCAGGTCTCTTCTGTTTTTAATAATTCACTTTTTTTCCTTTTGTGGATTCGTTTTGTTTTAGTGAAGCTGAAGCTGCTGAAACCTCACCTGTCGCAGTGGGTCAGGCATACGGTTAATCTGACGTATGTGGACTTCACTCCACGGATAAAGGCGTCAGGTCTGATTTTGCCTCTCCAATCTCTAGTGATACACGGGTACTTGATTCATTTCAAATCAGTTGGCCTTCCCCAACTTTCTCCCTCCCTTTTCTTTCCTTCTCTCTCTCTCTCCTTTTATAAAAACACCATTGCTTTTGTTTGTAGCAGTTTAATTACGGTTCTGACAGCCATTTTAATCTCTTCAAAGCTCCCCAACTGCCCCTTTCCAGCTAATCCAATTATATCTACTCCACAAGTTACAGCCCCATCTAAAGATGATTAATTATTGATTAAGCCAATCAAAAAGCATTAGGAAAGATTTATTTAATCTTTTCAGAGGCTCCTATTTTATTACATGGAGATTATGGCAAATGGACCTGTTACGTTGCTGCCTCTGGCCCGAAGGTCACAGTGCTCTGAGTGGAGGCTGAAATGGGCACATGAGCTGCTTAAACTTGTTTGTTATGGAAACGGGCATCGCCCCCTGAAAACTTGTCTACAACCAAGAACCCACATGGCAGCGGCTGTAATGTTGGTGGGACTTGGAGTGAAGGCAAATAATAAACCTCCTCTGCTGCCGTCCCCTCAGGCCAGCACAGAGGCGGCCGCCTCCGGGGAGCGCCCAGCCACACGCCAGGTGATGGTGCTAAGCCCAGCGAGACATCCTGGGGCGTGAGAGCGGCTCAGTGGCCACTGGTAAGCCGACAGCAGCCTGGTCAGTTTGAAGAATCAATAACGTGGATAGCTGACGGGCTAAGCTGAGGCGCCTGAATATTTATTATAAAGTAGGAAACATGTTTCCTGATCCAAGAAATGGGGTCAAAATCATAGAACCTGAAGTTGAAGGGGCCTTAGAGATCATTTAGTCCAACCCCTCCTTTAAGAAGAGACTGAGTGACTTACCCAAGGTCCCATGTCTAGTGGCCAAGTTGGACCTGGGACACAGGGGCCCTGGATCCCGGCCGGCTCTGCGGCACACACACCTGGTGACCTGCTCTAACTGCCCTGGGGAGCTCACTCCTTCAGCCGGTCAGTGTCTGCTCAACACTGTGTGCCAGGAACTACGTCACATACGGGAGACAGGAAGACGGCTCAGCTGCCCCCTTGAGCAGGTGAAATGTATACATGAAAAGTAACTCAGAACCTAACGGGGTAAAATGCTGTAAGAGAATCACGGACGAAGGACTGTGGCGGCTCCCGAGGAGCACAGCCCCACTGCCAGGGGAGCTGGGACGGCACGCCAGGGAGGCGTGTGCCCGGCAGCAGGCACAGGAGGCATGTAAAGGGCTCTGTAGGGTCCCATTTACTTGTGTGACTTTGTAGAGCTTTTTGGGTCATTGGTTTCTTTGCTGTCTCTGAAGCTGTGAAAGGCCCGTGTATGGGGAGTGGCGAGGGTCCGTGAAGGAGTGGAAGGAGGCAAGGCTGCAAGGGTAGCTGGGGATCTACTGGTCAAGTGCCCTAAATGCCCAGGCAGGCTGTCTCGGGGGAGCGGTCTCTGGCGGCAGGGTGTGTGTGGGGCACACGGTAGGGGCACTGGCAGAGACAAGTCATTAGGATGCACTATCACCATGTGTGAGGGAAACAGGAAGCTGGACTATGGCTGTGATGTGGGAAGTCAAGGCTACGTCTCTGAGGTAGACCTGTGACCCACTGTGAGGGCAGGGGCTGGCTGGTGAATAGAGTGTCCCTGTGCTTCCCACTCACTGACCATGTGACGGCCACATCATGCCTGCAGCAAGGACACAGCAGATGGAGCAGGTCTGCTGGGGAGACGCTGACATCTTCAGGACATGAAGAGCTTGAGGTCCTTGCATGACAACCGGGTGGAAATGTTTAGTGGAGAGCTCGAAATAATCTGCTTCCATTAAAACTTCTCTCCAGCACTGATGCACACTACGCACATCTATACTTTTATCACAGTTTTCTAACCATGGCTGGAGGATTCTGACATTGGACACTATATACTAATAACTGATACAAAAGGAAAAGGGGGACACTTTGCTGGGAATGAAACATTAAGGCATAAGAAAGCTCAAAGGTCTGAGGAGGTTGGTGGACTTGAGGGTACAGTAAGGAGGGGTGGGGTAAAGGCAGGAGTAGGTGGAAGTAGATGAGACGGGAAAAATTTTAACACGATCGTGAAGAATTGCTGGTGGACATACATCACCCCTCACACTCTCCTGCGTGCCCTTGATGATGCTGGGCTAGCTACCAACTGTACAGGGGAGCAGCTTTCTTGTTCAAGCCCGGGAGGAGTATGTTTAAATCAAGGCCATCAGTTTCATCCCTACTCCTTAATCCAATTTTACAATGGAAATAATTAAGAACAATTCAATAGTTTTATGGCCAGTAATTCACGTACAGAATAAAGCCCCATATTTTAATTCCTACTGGCGAACTATTCTTCCCAAGCACTTTTTTTTGGGCTCTCTGTCTCAACCTCCACTACCGTGGGAGCGCCCGGGGGGATGCGTTATTTTCTTTTCCAAATGGCTCCATGTGACGCTTGGACTTAACACTTCTGTGGGAGAAGTGTCCGTGGTCACTGGCCACGCAATCATGTATTCATGCAAATGAATTAAGGCAGCAACGTGATAGAGTGGAACAAAAAGGATCTGGAGCCAGGAGGTCTGTTTGAAGTCCCAACTCTTCCACTTACCAGTTGTGTGACGATGGGCAAGTCTCTGAGTCTGTTTCCCCATCTGTGGAATGGGAATGATGAAGATGCTAGCTCTAACTACTTCCTAGTGAGGATGTGAGTAGTAGCATTAATAGTACTAATAGTGGTAGTAGTAATAACTACAGCTCAAATGAAAGACTCCCATGAACTGTAAAGGAGTCCTAAGTATTCGTGTTACTGTGGTATAATGAAAGGCACATATAGGTTTAGAGTCAGACAGCCGAGGTTCTAATCCTGGATCCACCGCTCACTAGCAATATGACCTTGAACTCTCTGAACTTCCACTTCCTTGTATGTAGAATTGGGATATGAATACCCACCTCACTGAATTGTCATGAGGGCAAAAGGTCATTATACACCTAAAGTGCGAGGTGCAATGGCTGGACTGTCGTTGGAACCCACAGTGGCATTTCCTGTCACGTGCTTACGGAAAGTTTCCCCACCCTCATTAGGGCACTCTGGGAATTAAGTGGGAGAAGAATGTGCAGAAGCAAATAAAAGACATGGTCCCTGTCCTCAAGAAGCTTTCAGCCAGTTCAGAAGAGAACACACACGCACATTAAACGATAGTAAAAGAATTACAGAACAGCAGATCCACAAGCTCGAGAGAGTAACAGGCAGAGCCCTCCTTGCCCTCGCCTGGTGGTTGGTCCACAACACACCCTATTGCAACTCAAATCTGTTCAAAGGACAAAGAGAGAGGGTCACTTACAGACAGATATGTGACTGTTTTTTCTTATAGCTCTCGGGTTTACTCTTCAAACCTCCATCTTAATATTTCTAATATTCTTCCTCTCTGTCATACAACTAACAGCCCCCAAATAGCAAAATGAAATCTTTGATCCAGGGACTCACTCCTAAAAGGTCTGATACATGACCTGGTTATACTAGACTGTTTCATTTTATCAGCTCTGTTGTATCTAGATCAGCAAGATATATGGACAGAGAATGGGAGGCATTAATGAATACCACGGACATGTTGCTCCACCAATCATATGTACACGTGGGAGGGACACAGGAGATGGGGAGGCTGGTCACAGGCTCCTTGCAGGTGATAGACGCAGGGCCAGACTGTAATGGCAGTGATGAATATGGATCATGGGGAGGAAGGCATCCCAGAAGCAGAAGAATTAGTCAAGCAAAGGCACAGAAACAAGAGTTAGTTGTGTGCAGGGATTGGCAAACAGGCTGGGTTGGCTGAGGTAAATTTTAAAAAAGCTCAAAACAGATACAGGGTATGAAAGAGAATCTCAAAGGAGACTACGAAATCCTAGGCTGACAAGTCTGGATTACAGTACAGAGGTATTTTTGTCTTCTATTTCAAGGGCCTTACGTTAAAGAAATTTTTCATTAAAAAAATTCTCCTTACAAAGTCTGAAAGCTATGAAATAGTATCACTGACATATAAAAAAAGTTGTATGCTTTCATTTTCATATCCCTCTGTGTCTAGCACAGTGCCTTGCAGATAGCAGATCCTCAATAAGCGTGTATGAACTAAATTTTGTTGCAGTTGATACCATCTTGCACTTTCACAGAAAGGAAAGGTGTTCTATGGGCCTCCTGAATAAACCACAACCAAGAGAAAAGCTAGATCTCTGGGTAGAAGACTCACTTTCATCATCAAGACCCACAGAGGCAGGAAAGGTATTATGAGCATTCTATAGGAAATTCCTTCCAGGGGTTTCTCTAGTAGACTGTGAGCAACTTGAGGGCAGAGTCCATGTCTTACCTGGCTGTGATCTGCATACCTATATATGATCTGTATAGGATGGAGCACACAGCAGGTGCTCAACATGCTTACTGAAAGAATACATGGGTCACAGCATCAATGGAGAATGACAGCGAACCATTTGTCAGGAATCATTCTCATATTATTTTAAGTGTAATTATTTCCCTGCTGAGGCATCATGACGTCCAGCAGAAGTCAGGCCCCCTTTGTACCGTACAGCCTGGAGCTCCCAACCACTAAATGGTGTAGACTCAGCTTCTAACATGGAGCACCAGGAGGTCTAGATTCTAATCTCAGATCTTCCACTAACTTGCTGGGTGTCCTTGGGCAAGTCATTTCCTTCTCTGGGCTTGAGTTTCCTCATCTATAAAATGAAGGGGTTGGACAAGATGATCCCCCAGATCCTAAGCTAAGAGTCTAAATATTAGGCTACTAAATAAAATTTTGATCTATTTAAAAAAACTGCTAGGTTTTTAAGACACTAAAACTCAATACTGCTAAGCCTTTGTTTTAATGTATTCTAAGCCTAACAGTCAAACACAGCATCCCACCTAGTTGTCACTGACATACACCAAAACCAGAAATCCTTTCTGCAAAACTATCAGCGGATGATTAGAATGATTACAAAGTAAGTCAAAGCAATGGCAACGGTTACAAGGAAGGATCTAAACTCAATCATGGCCCTCAATAAACAGGCTATCTCATGAAGAATCACTGGTCCTAAATTATGAAGGTCCCATCTAAGGGTGTCAGATATATGTACATCGTGGTTAAACACAGATACTGTATATTGAAATGTGCATCAGGATTAAGATAGTCACATAGCAACAACTCCTTCATACTTACCTTCAATGCTATACACAGGCCTTAACACAAGTTAAGACTGCCCTCGTTATCATCAAAAAGTACAGTGATGTCTACTGGATAAAGAGCCCATTCTAGGCACTGTGACAGTATCATGGCGGGCTTCTCATCTGATCAGGCATCTGGCCAGGGAAGAGATAAGCCTCCAAGAATGTTCAACTGGAACGAAACATCATTTAGAAATTTGATCTTACTAAACGATAAGGAACCATAATCTATAAGGGTTTGGCCAGGCACAAGGACACAGATAAAGCACGTCCAAGAAAGGAAACCCTATTTTGCCCCAGCCTAACCCTTGGGACTGCTCATGGAAACCAAAAAATACTTTCTTAAAGAGTTAGGGGTGGGAGATTATGGAACTTATACCATATTTAAAATTTTCTGGTATGTTTCTCTTTCTTCAGATATACTTTAACATATCTCTGCTCCACTATTTCCCTGTAAGAATGGTCCTCTGGGATGCCTGGGCTTATATAAACTTCACAGAACCTTAGAGAAGATTGCACCTTTTAGGGCTTCTGGTTCCTATGTAACTCTTTCCCCCAGAAATGACAGTGCAATATTGGGGCTCAGATGCTAACATACCCAATAGCACGTTATAGAAGAGGCCAGATGTGTATGTGTATAAAACATCTTACTTGACCTGGAAGCAAGAGAATACTCTTGCCCACAGCACATGTTTTGTGCAATACAAACAAAGCATTCAATTCAAGTGTACTTGTTGAAAAACAGGACATAATTAAGCAGTTGGTAAAATGCATTCTTGTTTCCCACTTGCAGATCTCCCAAGAGTCCCTTCGAATTTACCTATACGAGTTTCAGCTTCCCGCTTGCCACTTAGCTTGATAACGACTCAAAAATCATTCCCTTGTTTTCAAGGGCTCTTCTTTCTTGTCTGCTCTGTGTACTACAGGGCAGTATTGACACATGGAATTAATGACAGGGTCTGTAATGAAACAACAGTCATGCAAACACCGGTCTGCTCTTTTGATAAAACAGCATGTTAGAGACCTATTCACCTCCCTCTAATTGAGTACTGCATAATAGTTTCTATCCTTTTATGTAACATATTTTGTTCTATGATTAGAAAGGAAGAAAAGGGGGGAACCTATGAGGCATTGCTTCCTTCAATCATCCCCTGATTAATTCTCTGTTTTTAATGAGGGTGGCTGTTATTTAGGCAGGTTCTGTTACATACTTGTTTTGTTGACTTCTGTACAATGTATAACAAAACCCAGGATGGGATAATTGGGAACCATTTCTTTGGCCCAGGGATTCCTGCTCTTAATGCAAGGTTGGCTTGGAAAAAAGAACCCTGACATTTTAAATTAGCCATTTCATATTTAATTCCTTTTCACATTTGAGAGATAGGATGAGAAATTGGTATATAAGAAAGCCTTTTAATTAACACAGAGCTTTTCCAAAAATGCCTTGCAAGAATGGAGCCTGTGATGGCCTGGAGAAAGCAGCTCTGTAATCTTTGCTACAATTCCAACTCTCAGAGTGCATCTTGTTTCAAGATTTCAGCATCTCTACAATAGTCCCCAGTTCACTGAAGTACAGTGGGTTTCCCAGTAACTTGGGACATTCTTAAAAGTGATTTTAACCTTTTTTTCCCTCACAGAAATAACATTACAACCTCTGGCCCTAATTAACATGTTCAGTTACATACTGTGAAAGTGTCCTTTGGACTCTGATCCTTCATCTCTCCTTATATTTTTCATCTAATGGCTTCCCAGGGCTGCCTGGTTATACTGGTTTTTCACTAAGCCACTAACCCAGTAGGTAGGAGGTATAGGATGGCTTTTCCACAGCAAATTCTAGGTATTCAGGCTGCATCTTTTAAAAATTAGTCTGAGGCCCTTCCTTCAGCCCTCACTATCATGCTTTGGGAATGGGTACAATTGGGAAGGTTAAACATGTAGCATAAAAATATCACTCCCAAGACAAATGGCATACTGTCCATCCCACATCCTTCCATTTTGTGAAGGCAATTGGGAGTTGCCTAAACAGTCGCAAAGGGAAGCCTTTTTAAAGTTAAGTTTGTTTAATGTGATCATACTAAGTATAAGAATTTGTTAGAATACCTAAAATCATTCTCTTTTCAAAACTGAGACCTTATTTTTTTAAAAAGACACCTTATGTTACTATAGACTCACAGGAGTTTTACTGGTTTCCTCTATATAAAGCTGTGTGTTTGTTTTGTTTTATTTTTTTTAAGCATAGGCTATTTATTTAGCTCCTAACCTGGTATTTGAAAAGAGCTCAAATCAATGATGGAATGAAAGAGTAGGAATATATGCCCTCCAAACCTAAAGTCTCTTCTCAAGAAAATATGCTTACCATCTGTTTTTATGCTTTGTGCTTGTTTAAAATTTAGAATGTTTTATTAAAAATAATCAGACTGACAAATTTTTAAGAGGTGTTGGTAATTTTCAAGATAACATGATCTAGAGTCTGAAGACTAAGAATTGAGTCCTGCCTATGTCATTAACCAGATGCCGGGCCTTGGGTCAGTCATATAAACATTGGTCCCACTTACTCTTCAGTAAAACACCTTTCCCTACCTAAGTCACCGGGCTGTTTCAATGATCAATGGAGATAATATATATTGAAGCACTTTTTAAAAACTTTAAAGCACTATATAAATATTAGTCTATTATTATTGTTCTCAATTCTGTTAGAAGACCACATGCAAAGCTTCTAAAAATTTGCTACCCACCTCACAGTAAGCAGCATGGTTAAAATACAGAGAATGAGGTTAGGGATAGTGCTAGAAGAATAAACTCCAGTTTTTTTTCCTTAAATAAAGGTGTTCTTTATTATTTCTTGGTAATTTCTTTACAGAATTTTTCTATCCTATTGTCCAAATTAACAAAATAAATAATAAGAGGTCAGTATGCCAAATGACACTACTGAATAAAGCAGAAGAAATAGAAGTTATGTGTTCTTCCCAAATAGAAAGACTTAAAAGTTAAACAAGGAGGGTAACTAAGAGAGCAGAAAGTCAAAAGCCATTTCAGCTAGTGCTTAAACAAGAGCTCAAAGTAGTCATTCCTATTAGAGTTAAAGGACAATGACTACCAACAGGCAAGACAAAGGTAGCATGACATCCTCCTTCAGAGTTGTCTATACCCTAGCAACATACAATATCAAATTTCTCAAATTAATCCTCACCTCCCACTTTAAAAGTACATTAATTTAACTGGATCCCAGTTCCCTTAATTGGACTTCCAAGCAACCTCAGGGTGTATGTTAATGATGTGAAACAGTGCTGTCTAATGAAAATATAATGTAAGCTACAAAACGTAAGCCAAATATGTCATCTTAAATGCTCTGGTAGACACACTGAAAAAGTAAGAAAAGATAGATAAATTACTTTTAGTATATCATAAAATATCAATGTAAAATCTATATTAAACAAATGAGATATTTTAATTCTTGTTGTACTGAGTCTTTGAAAGTCTGAGTATTTAAAACTTATAGGACATCCCAATTCAGACTAACCATATTTCAAGTGTTCAACAGTCATTTATGGCTGATGGTTACCACTTGGACAGAGGAGAGCTAAAGGATTTTCTGATGTAAACAATTAAAACTTTATACTTTAGTTCCTACAATAGATCTCACAATGCTTTAAAGATTGGCCCACATTTCTGAAGTATACCTGAAAAGCATTTCCTTGACTAACTCATCAAAAAGGTGGGTGTAATCACAGTTGTTACTTTTGTAAGCAGAGAAAAATAACTTATTTACAAGAAAAAAATTACATATTTATTACTTTTCAGTCATAAAGCACTTATCCCAACTTTAGTAAGTTTAAAAATAATCTTTGGATTAAAAGGAACTATTCCACATTTGGTACCTGCATTTATTAAGAACGCCATGTCCCAAATACTACACAATGATTGGCAATAAATAAATGAATGAATAAAAAAGTATTAGATAAGACAAGGAAGAAATGGGAAAACAATTATTATTTATTTATATACATGTAAACTTTAGATGATTTTGATAGAATATCTAAGCGAAAAGGCAATGGACCTTGTTAAAAAGTAATGGGGTAAGGGTGGGGTGTAAGATTCATCAGTCCTGGTTCCAACTAAGGAACTAGAGGGGATTAGAAAAGTCAAAACAAACTTGAAATATTATTTCCCTTGGTTAGTTTAAGCTTAAGCCAATCAATCCTCTCTCTCCTTTTTGGAGGAGGCTGCATTATTATATACGAGTTGTGTGCTGTAGCTAAGGTGAATGCAATTGTATTAGCTACACTGGACTTGCTTAACCACACACAATCCCCATTCTAATCTCCTGCTTAAATTGCAGGCTTATTCTTTTTCCAATTCAGAGAAAGAAAGAGGAGGTGGAGAGGCAGGCAAGTTTCATCCCCCTTTCACCTCTGCTCTCACATTAAAACTGTCAAATGAAGCTTTCTCTAATCTCATGCCTCAAGCCTGAATGTTTATGTTTGATAAATATTATAATTTTATTTCTATATAAAATAAATTATGAAGCCTGATATTTAAATTAGCTAGTCATGGGCCAAACCTTTATAGAATTCTTTTCAGGTTCTGAATTTTATGACATTTGGCCAAGAAATAAACTGCCAAAAGTATACTTTATAGTTGTAAACCATATAGGCTATTTTATAGAACAGAAAACTGACCTTCGATTTGGGGATCAGCTGTGTTATTTTCTCACACACTGGGGAAACCACAGGATACAAGGCACTGTACTAGCTAGACATGATGGGATTAATAGGGCTCAGATTATTCTCAAACTCTTAAGACCCCCAGGTCCACTGCCAACCCCCTTATCTACATCTGTTCCAAATACAATCCTTTTACTTAAAAACAAACAAACCACTTGGAATACTACTAAGTCAGTTGGTATTCAATGGGGAGAAAATGTTTGAGCACTAATCTCTCCAGAGTCCTTGGAAATCTAGGTAAGATAAAGCTGCTAGGATGGTGAGCTCCTCGAGGCAGTAGCTATGTCCAGCATGGAGGCAAATGGAAATGTAATTTTAATTTTTGCATTGGTGGTTTTACAGTTTTGGAAGTGAATATCATCTATACCCTACACCAGGCTCAGTAACAGTATTTGGCATGACCAACCTTAGTCAGCACTTTGGTAAGTGCTTTGGCACGGGCCACTGTTGCTAACCACCATCCTGGTGCAGGTCCTTCACATCTGCTCTCCTATGGATGGAAAAAAGGAAGTGTCTAGTGTCCATTCATTGGCCACATCACCTCCAACCCTATCCTTGACTCACGTGCCTTTCAATTCAGGCCCAGGAGAGAATGATTCCATTTCTGAGAAGGAAAGTTAATCAGATGAAGCTACAGTACACTTTTAGTGCAATGAAGACTTGGTGGGATGCAGGACATCCTTGGAGGACAGTTGAGGGAGCTGACCAGCAGGACAATGCTGAAGAAAATGACCAGGAAGTATTCTGGCCAACACTGACTCTCACAGACAGACACAGTAGCACAGCAGACAAAGCAAAAGTCTTGAGTTCTGGAAAATGGAGTTCCTAGCCTCACTTTATTATGAAGCTAGAAAGAGAACGCATGTGAAATGTTTTGTAAACTGTTAAAGGAAATGGATTATCACCAGACATTAGTTTGGAAATGTTTGGGGAAATTCTTTGGGACTTGCTTCCCCCAATGATAAATTTGAAAATATATTAATCAAGTAATGATAAAACAACCTGAGCTCTTTAGAAGAAAGATGTAGTATGTGAATACCAAAGATTTATTTTAACCAGAGTAAGTTTCCCTCCACCCCGAATGAATGGTCATTTCTCCACCTGTCTATTAAATGCCTCTTACACTTTAAGGATCAGCACAAATGCTACCTTTCCTGTGAAACAATCCAGACAGAATGAACTGCTCCTTTTCCTGGGTGCTTACAGTTCAACACAGACCTTATTTTGTCATTATTTTCTTCTAGAATAGATTTCCTTCACTAGAATGTGAGCTTTCCAGAGGCAGAGCTTGTCATGTTCACCAATCTCCCTCATCTTCCTAGCACAATGCCTTGCTAACATTAATAAATGTTCCTTGACTTGTACTGCATTTAGTCTACTTTGGCTTACGGCTTCTTGTTTACCTCAAAAAAACAAACAAACAAAAAAATACCAAAACCAAAACCAGTAACAGTGAGAAGAGAGAAGAAACTTAAGACAAACATGTAAGATGCATAAAGAATGGCTTCATTCTTTGCATTCCTGCTTTGGAATGCCCACTGCTGATCTCCACACAGCTTTGTCATTGACTGTTATTAGTGAGAGCAAATGTTAGAAAGCACAGAAAGGCAAACAATGTAAAAAACCCACCACACGTCATGCAAAGTCTGTCATTTACGACGACTCTCAAAGTTGCCTTTAGCTTCAATTTTTCAATAGCAAAATCAGTGCCAACAAGACCTATTTGCTCTGCTTTGTAAGTGCAAAAATCAGTGTCACCTTCAGGTTGAGTTGGGCATCTATCTGCTGGGTATTGCTGGGTGAGTACATATCTTCTTTGCAGCATAGTTTAAATCAGGTGGAAGCTTGGTTATTTCAGACTTGACATTTGTGCACTGATTTGTTGGCAGCGTCTAGAACAGGGGTGGGCAAACTTTTTGACTCGAGGGCCACAATGGGTTCTTAAACTGGACCGGAGGGCCGGAACAAAAGCATGGATGGAGTGTTTGTGTGAACTAATATAAATTCAAAGTAAACATCATTACATAAAAGGGTACGGTCTTTTTTTTTTTTAGTTTTATTCATTTCAAACGGGCCGGATCCGGGCCGTAGTTTGCCCACGGCTGGTCTAGAATATGTGAATTTCCCTGAGATTACAAGAAGGACCTGGCACTGTTTTTGTCGCTACTATAGGGTTACCTATAAAGGTGAATTTATATTAGGGATGCCTCTTGTCTCTTTCAGTAAGTACCTGAATTACACTGTGTTGTCTTAGGCAGTTCTATCTCCCATCTCCCACTTTCCTAGCTTGGAGCTTACTCATCCTGGATATATGGGCCAGTTGACTAGCATCTGTGTTATCTTTTAAGAACTCATGTTATTAAAATAATTTATGAACATGATATTTATGTAATTGAATGGTTTACTGTTAGTATGTCCTAACATACTAATGTGCTCCACTCGGTCCTGTTAACACTTCCTCCTCCTACCAGGGGGACTATTAGACCACTGTGTTTCATCAGGTCCTTTTGGAAACAGCTAAGCACAAATCCTATTTTTATATATTCATTCCAAACTTGTTATTGTGCCTCCTATAGGTTTGCCATATCGTATCTTATATTTGACTATTCTATCAAAAGTATGGAGAATGTCATCTGCAAATAGATGACAATGTCTTTTGAAGACTGTAAGCATTGCCAGTGACTGTAAATTCTAACCCTGGGAAAAGATGAGAGTTTAAAAAGACTAGCTGGAAGTTCCACTAGGTTTGCAGGTGATGAAACTACTTACTTCTAAATAACTTGTACCACACTGCCAGCATCATCTGAAAGAAGCTCAGACTCGGCAGAGGGTCTGAATACCCACCCACACTTGTCACACTCTCCATGTTTTCAAACATTTCTACTCCAAGCCTCCTCCTGTGCTCTAAGCCTCTGCCCTCTTTGTTACACCTTTTCCTTTAATGATTGGCTTTCCTATTCCAGTTGCTGCTTCTCTTGGCTGAGGGATACTGTTCTTCACATAGTTGTGAAAAAGGAGATGAACAGAAGAAATTCACCTTTAAGTGACAGCTGCCATTGACACACAGAAGCACTCACTCAAGATGGCTTAAAGGAGAAAGGGACTCAATGCATGACTGGAAAACAGAGCGATTCAGGCAAGTGTGAAAGGAATTAATATTTTCTAATAATTCCTCCAGGACAACTAGTTGCTGATTAGTATATATTTGATTTAATTATTTTCCAAACTGACTATTTTTGGAGGAGAAGGAGATGTGGAGCAAGAAGGGAAGGGGAGATTGTTTTTAGAGCCCCTAATTAATACAAACACCTGCTTTCAGAAAAGCCTTCATTTGAGCTATTCCTTTTCACTTTTTCCTGTTGGGTACATGACAATTTAGAATTCTTGGTTTCATCAAAAAAGAAAAAAAAAAGCATCATGATTTTAAACAAAAACCAAAACAGACTAAAACAAAAAATACAAGAAGCGGCAAAATGACTGAACCTAACTCAGCATCTTTTTGAAGACAGGGAGGTTAGTTGGTTAAATGTCACAGCGACCTAGCAGTTACTGTCCCACCTTGGAGAGTTGGACTGTTTAAGAGTGCATATCCAGAGGCACAGGTAGGGAACGCAGGAGCCAAGAGTACTAACTGCTGCTGCCGGGGCCACCCTGTGCCAATCAGCATGAATTTCCAGAGCTGCTGCTCTATGGTAACTCTCAGCGAGAGAGACAAAGAATAGAACATTTGTAGAAACCAAGCAAAAAATGGATGGGAATACAATACCTGGAAAGTTTATCAAGCATGTTGACAAGTTTCATGGCTTCATATTCTTTTTGTTCTTCTGTCATTTCATCTATAAGGTTTGGCATTGGTTCCTCTAAATGACCAGTGATAAGATTAATGCTACAAAAAGAAAAAAAAGTTATGCTGTATGTTTTAAAATTATGCTCTTTCTATACTTTGCTGGTCCAAGTTGTAAGTTATAATAAGAAAGAGTATAGTTGCCAAAAAATTGGCAATAATAGAATTTTATGATATAGAACTGCTCTAGGAATTTTTTTAAAAAATTACTTTCCTAGTATTAACTATTGTTTTTCAAAAAGTAAAACTAACTTGCCAACTTAAAAAAAATAAGGCCCGGCTGCTTTTTAAAAATATAAAATTTGATTGGGTATTTAGGGTAAATATCCTTGGATGCATACTTTCTTCATTAATTATAAGGGGACAAATGATTTAAGAGAGGGAGAAATTCATTTTGTGATACAGCATAAAACAAATATATCAAAAAAACTGGAAAAATGATGATAGGCTGGAATCTGAAAATGAAAGCATGCCAATTTATAATCTCAGGAAATTAGTCCATTAGTGAGACCACAGAAGGCAATGAGTGTTTAAATAATAAAAGATAAAGCAGAAGAACAATTTTAATTAGATTTGATCTGACCTAGATAAAAAAAAAAAGGAATGAAATGTAGCCTACCAAGAGACAGGTATACCATCTGGTTTTCTGGAAATAGATTTAATAAAGTACTTAGAATGAATACGTTCCATAAACTATGTACGAAGTTCTAATACCAAACAAGCTATCCTCTTAGATAAAAGCCACATTATTTTTTTTAAGAAAGTGAAATAAAAGATAATTCTTCCAATGGCTGCTAAATATCTGTAAGTTAAATATGTTTCTGGAGAAAAGGACAAGAAATTATAGCATTTTGTACCAGCCAAGTACAGATGGTTTGCTCTTAATGATCAAATTAAATATCCCTGCAAACAGCAAATTGCTAATAAATTGCTTTGTAGGGTCTACAAACACAAATGCGTTCAGGGACCAGGCCTTCAGGATAAGCAAGTGAGTGAACTGGTCAAGTATAAGCAATGTGGAGCGCTGGGACTGGAATAAACTGGAGGTTAGAAAGTGGTCTAAATAGAAAAAAATCACGAGGGCCAAAACAAGGACATTGTAATCAATTAGGTTCTCTGGTGGCGAGTTTCCAATTGGGCAAGTTAACTTTACTGACCTGGGCTTTCTCATTTGGAGTAAGGTTAGGCCACAGGTACTATTACCAGATTTCCTTTTCTTTTGCTGAATTCCTCAGAGGCTACATGACATGCAGATTCTTGTGAAAGAATTCAGTGCTCATCATCCTCAAAAACTGGATCTAAAACATCTGTTTTGCCATTCTTGCATAAGACCTATGTCTAGAGCTGTGGTTAAAAAAATCTTTTTTCCTTCAAAGCAGTGGAAACCATCCCCTGCTTCTTATTTAACAAATGAAACCCTAGGTAGAGGGCCAATATGTAAAGTAGACAAAAGTTGGAACTGCTCAGGCAGAGGAGATAGCGATGGCCAAGAGCCTCCTCTATTTGTCTGCACTCTTAAGGAACCCTGGTGCTCAGGGTAAACAGTCTGAAACCCACAGGCTTGCCAGTGATTTTTAGTCTTGGCTGTACATTAGAATCACTTGGGAAACTTTAAAGAGAACTAAATCTTTGTGTGTGTGCGTGCGCACGCATGTGCGTACGTGTACATATACATACACATATACTTATATATGTATATATGTTTTTAAGTTTTCCAGGTAATTCTGATACACAATGAGTTAAGAACCACTGGGCTAGAGTGCCTACTTCAGACACTCATAATGCACTATTACTGCCTCTCCTTTTTTTTTCAGGTGCTAATAAAGGAAGAGAAAAAGTCCTCTAGTTAAGTGGCCATTAACAAAAACACTGAATGGGGTCATCATTTTTCCCAAAAATTGAGAATAAAGAGGACCCAGACAAGGATTCTGAAAACTACAGAGTTCTTAAGAGGTATCCAGATGCCACAATGAAAATGTAATTCCATCACCCATCTATTATTTGCTTAGGCATATAACAACGAGACATGTTTTTACTGGTTTCTCTACTGCTTCCTGTTAACTCAGAAAAACAACTAGTCTTATAAATGATAAGTAAAAGTACTTATTGTAAGCTCATACCACTTCCCAAGCAAACAAAGGAAATCAGTTCTTAGAACAAAGTATAAGGGAAGGTAGTAGATATATTAACTGCATCTGCTCATCTTGGCTCCTGAGTGAAGGCTTCTCTCATCAAGGCCTATGGAGGGGTGATTTTAAAAACCAGGTCCACAGACTGTTGCAGAATATGATGGCATTATACAAGCCGTCGTGTGCCGCAGGGAGAAGTGTGTCAGGGGGACACACTGGTGAGCTCTGTGGTATTGTGGACACCACAGCACACAAAGGTCAGGACATGCATTCCTGGGTCAGAGCACATTGGATTCTTTTCTTGGTTCTTTAAAGGCTTAATGGAAATGATGTCTGTTTTCCGTAAGCTGACCTCAAGTTCTCTGCTGCTAAAATGATTTAATGGCTTGCTCTGAAATTAGGTACTAAAGTCACAAAATCCTTTGCTCACTGAACACAAAAGCAGTAGCTAGAAGTTAATTTTTATGGAGTAGGAACTTACCATCCTTTACCCATGGAGTAAAACATTCCAATCCCCCCAAAGTCACTCCAGGGACTCAGGTTTCATTTTTTCCTTCACAAAAACACCCCACACCGCCCCGTACTCAGAACAATGTAAACAATACCACAGAAAACAACAGGAGCTAGGCCACCTCTTAAGGGAAACAGGGCAGTGTGCTGGGGGCAGGAGGCAGACTGGGACACTGTCTCCTCTCTTGCTCCCCACTTCACACTAGTGGCATGTAGTTTCCTTACCCAGAGAAGAATAGAAAACAAATAATAGTCACCACAACAATGATGTCAGTTTTCATAAAATAGGTTATTTTCAGTTGAGTAAACACTTGCCACCTTTATAACCTTAAACAGTAGAGTATGAGACTTAGCTTTCAGTTTCAGGATCTTAACCCTATGAAATCCTGGGGTTCGTTTTATTTTGTTCCAAGACGCTGAGTCTTAAGATACTTAAAGTACACTAATTTTGGTGGATATTTTATTGGGTAATTTTATATTTACTATGATTCCCCCCCCCTTTTTCTGCTTTCTTCCTTCCTCTTCCCAGCACTCTAATCCTATGATTGTTTGTCTTCCAATTAGATGACAAGCAGTATCTAAATTCTTATCTGTGGTATTTCATTGAGAATTTTTTATTATATTAGGCCCTTATATGAACTGACCACAGCTATATGGGCCTGGAGATGAAATTATTAAGACATACTAAAAAGTATGAGGAAATAAACATATGCATAAAAGCTGAAATATATTTCAAGACTTTTGCTTTTTCTTAAAATTGTTGTTACATTTGGTCATCAATAGCACTAGGTCACTTAGCAAAAAAGACCCATTAAAAATTCCCTGAGCTACATGAAAGTTAACTTCAGTCTCTAAAAAGTGTGGATTAAATTTTACCGAAAGCATTCTGCCTGAAGAATGGGCTATAAAGCTCAACCCCTACAGAGCCAGGCAGGTAAGATGAACAAAAAGGATACGCTGTCAAACCAAGGGAACTTATGCTGCACCAACTCCATTGCAATGCAAGAATGTTATTAGAAACTTCCCCTTTTTAAAAAGGAGCTGAAAATCCAGATTTTCACATGAAATATCTGAATTCTAAATTCTTGCAAGTAATAATTTTAAGCAGTACTATGTAAAGTTAAAAAAAAAACCAGGAAACACAAAACCCAAATTACCAACGCAACATGGGGAAGTCAAGCAGAACCTACCTGTGGGCTAAATCTAACCTATGGGCTTATAATCTGCAACCTCTAGGAAGAATCGGGGTTTTAGGAAAAGGCATTGGTGAACCCAGACTAAAAAGGGAGGGGACAGGAGGGGTAGGAAAGGAGACATTATCTGCCAATGAAGCTACAAATGTTTTCCCAGGAAAAACTCCCCAGAATATTTGTCCCCACAAAACAACAAAGAGCAGAGTGGAACTTTACCATATCCTGATGTTCTTGAGTTCCATTCCCCGGCTCCCACTCCCCAACTGCAAGTTGGGCTTGATGAGGGCAGCCACCTCAATCATTTGGTATCCCAATGCCGAGAGAGGCTGACTGACTCAAAAATTTATTCAACAAATCAAACAACAAATTTATTCAACAAAAATCCCCTGAGTGCCTACTGTGTGCCAGGCTATTCTGGGGACATCTCAATGGACAAAAACAGGCACAAAAAAAGCCTCTTCTCTCCTGGAGCTTACCTTCCAATGGGGAAAACCGACATCATAAGTAAACTGTATGGTATGTTAGAAGTGCTATGAAAACGAGCAATGTGAGGAAGTGTGACTTGGAGGGGTGACGGTATGTGTGCTGCAGTTTTTATTAAGTGTACAGAACGGGCTTCACTAAGATATCTGAGTAAAGACTTGGAAAAGGTGAGACAGTAAGATATGTCAATGATATGGCGGTTCCTCAAAAATTTAAACATAGAACTACATAAACATTGATCCAGCAATTCTGCTTCTGGGTATATATCCAAAAGAAGTGAAAGCTGGATCCTCGCTGGTTTGGCTCAGCAGATAGAGCGTCAGCCTGCAGACTGAAGAGTCCTGGGTTCGATTCCGGTCAAGGACACATGCCCAGGTTGTAGGCTCGATCCCCAGTAAGGGCGGGAGGGGGGGGGGGCGTACAGGAGGCAGCTGATCAATTATATCTATACTAGAAGTCCGGTGCACAAAATTTGTGCACAGGAGGGGGTTAGGGGGGCAGATCCCTCAGCTGGGCCTGCACCCTCTCGCAATCTGGACCGCTGGCTCCTAACCGCTCCCCTGCCTGCCTGCCTGTCTGATTGCCCCTAACCACTCTGCCTGCTTGATCACCCCTAACCACTCACCTGCCTGCCTGATTGCCCCTAACTGCTCACCTGCTTGTGGGATCGCCCCTAACCACTCTGCCTGCCTGCCTGATTGTCCTTAGCTGCTTGCTTGCCTGCCTGATAGCCCCTAACCACCTCTGCCTCGGCCCCCACCACCACGACTTCGTCCAGAAAGATGTCCAGAAGGTCATTTGGCTGTCTGATTAGCATATTGTGCTTTTATTATTATAGATATATAAAGAGGTAATATGCAAATTAGGCTGGGATGCTGTAACGGGTCACGACTGGACAGGAGGAGGTTGCGAGCGCAGGTGAGGCCCAGAGCGGAGATGGAGACAGAGACAGGGCGGCACCGGAGTGGACACAGGCAGGGGGGCTGGGGGATGCTGCGAGTCAGGCGTGGGTCCTGGCCCCCCATGGCGCTGACCCAGCCTCCCGCGGCGCCGTCCGGCCTGACTCCCGCGTCGGCCAGCGCTGCACGAATCAGGCACAGGTCCCGGCCCACCGCGGGGTGCCTCCTCGCACAGCAGGAGGCGGAGCACCTCCTTGCGCGATTTCAACCGTGTGCTGGGCCTCTAGTATATATATGAACTGAAAGCTGGGACTTGAACAGATATGTGTACACCCATTTCACAGCAGCATTATTCACAATAGCCAAAAGGTGGACACAATTCAAGTCTTCACTGACAGAAGAATGGTTAAATAAAATGTGGGACATACAATGGAATGTCATTCAGCCTTAAGAAGGATGGAAATTTTGACACATGCTATAATATAGATGAATCTTAAAGACATTATTCTAAGTGAAATTAGCCAGTCAAAAAAGGATAAATATTGTATATGATTTCACCTATTATGGTTCCTAAAATGGTGAATTTTATATCATGTATATTTTACCCCTCAAATAAGAAGGCACAGTGAAGAGCACAATAAAACTTGCTTTGCCTACCTCAAACCCTCCCTTGCCCCGCCCCCCAAAAACCCCCATAAGCTCTGGAGTCAGGCCACCTGATCACTCAGGAACTATGTGCTCTACACAAGTACTTGACATCACTGAGCTTTAGTGTCCTCTTCTGTAAACTGGGGAGAACTCTATCCCAAAGGGTTAATATGAAGGTTAAATGAGATGATATTAGAAAGTTCTTAGAACAGTACCTGCACATATTAGACACTCAATAAATACCAGCTATTATTATTAGCATAAGTGAGCCACTTGCTAAGAAATAAGCAAGCCAGAAGGCCTTGGATGATGTAGTAAGCTTACTCTATTCAGTTACATCATCACCCGAGAGTGGCCTGTGCAATCTTCATTAACTAAAGAAGCCATGCAACAATTACGTATTTTGAGCAATTTCCTATAGATAATTTCAGATAGATCAGTTAATGGCTGAAAATGTCTCAAGTAGTTTGGGAATTACCATAAAAATAGAACAGTGATTCTACAATAAACAAGATGGTAAATTATGAAACATCTTAATCCAAGTTTTTGCAGTCCATTAGCAGTGCAAAGAACTAGGGTGTGTGTTGTCACTCTTTCACTGTTTACCAAATATTTACTAAGTATCTATCGTGTAGCAACCATACAAATAAACATACTGGATACATATATGTATATATATAAATAGATACCATATTGCATCTAGGCAATTAAAAAAAACTCCAAAATGTCTTTTTAAATTATAGTGCTTTCTAAGTGTTTCCTATGTTGAGTGTTTTGAATTAAGACTGATACCCTTTATTATAAAGGATACAGAAACTATGGTTGTAAATCTATAGGAAATGAAATGTGGAACAACACTGTAGTTATCTAACACAACTGACCTCTTGCTGGCCATTTCCCCAAATTATAACACAAAAATAAAATAAAAAATAGAGAATTCAGTTATGAAAGTACAAAACTAGTGGGGTTGCAAATATCACAAAGGCTGGTAAACTTACAGAACCCAGTGTAATGCAGAAGCAGCAATGATTTTATTCTCAATTCTGACCTTCTAGAGCAGCGGTCACCAACCTTTCGGACCTCACGGACCACCAATGGTCCGCGGACCACCGGTTGGTGACTGCTGTCAATACAGATGCTGACAGAGTTACTGCTGAGAGAAATATAGTCAAAAAGGCAATACCCGAGCAGTTTAGTACAATGATTTTAAGCTTCTGAATGTGATCTGAACTAGTGGGGGTATTAAGGGTGTAAGGAGGTATCTTAAAGTTCTGCCCACTCTGGCCTTCCCCTCCTTCTGCCCCTCTCTACAGAAGTTCTTTAAACACACCTCTTTGGGCCCTCAGGCTCCTAGATACCCACCCTGAAAGTCACTGGTCTACAATGAGCCAAATGTCATTAGATACACATCTTTCAAATGATGTTTGCAATTATGTATACACCATATCAGTCAGTTATATTACATAAACAGTTTAGGAGCCTCCATGCTCAGAGGCATAAAAGAAACAGGTATAAAATTAGAATTTAGAGATTTGGTTTCTCTTTGATACAATACCAAAATTTATATGACATCTTTTAACAAACATGGCTAAACATACACCAAAAACCTGTGTGACATGTAACTTGATTCAATGAGTATATCCTGTCTAAGTGTGCTAATTACAGAAAGCCATTTCCAGTCCATTAAGTACATTTATTTTGACACAAAAAGGACTGTTGTGATATTAACTGTCTCCCACAGCCTGAATGTAAGCTTCATACAATTCTTGGTTTCAGATTCCACTAAAGGATTACAGGTTACCTTAGTGCATTAATCAGAACCCACTTACATTTTTTTACAATGGGACAAGGGCCAACTGGATGAGGAGTGATTTCTCTGCTTTTGCCAATACTAACAACTCTTGTGAATAAATGTATCCTAAGAAACCTAGACTCTGATCCTGGGAACACTGACTAGTGAAGGATAATCAGAGGGTAGGGGAGTAAGCAATCCTTTCAGATTTTAGAAGTTCCACTAGATTGATAAAAGTTTTCGTAACTATTTTTAGGGACAAAGTTCTTCAGGCTCTGTGGATCACTGCCTAGAGCACAAAGGACTGTCTCGCTTAGAAAGTACTTTATTCACCACTACTTCCACAAGGACCATCTAGGTAAGTATTTAAACAAATTAAACATTCCACTACCCTGTTTCACCTAAAAGTAGGGAAGATATAAGAAAAAAAAAAAAACAAAAACGGATGGGAAACCCATATTTATACTTGTAATGAGTAAACACAAAATTTCACAATGGTGGCTATTCTGACCATAACATACCATTCCTATTAACAACATAGGCCAGGTCCAAAGGCTAGAGATTAGGGATGTAAGGCCCAAGTACTAGTACAGAATCTCCTATGACCGAAAGCTAAGACAATAGCAATATCAAACCTCATGGTCTTTGATTTAAACAAACAGTGCTCTTCTGAAATCTAGCATGTCTATTTCCCAAACCATTGGAAGAGACCCAGTGTTCTTGTATTTTCTCTGAGCTCTTTCTTGTTACAGTAGCATTCTGGTGCTTTCTAGATACATGGCCATTACCACTACAGAAATCATCTACCAAACAAAAGCAACAATACACATTGAGCTGCAACAATACTGACCACCCACAAGTACTCAAGAGTTGTCTAAGTTGACTGTGTCCACATCTCTGGGGCACAAAGAATGCCTAATGTAATTTCTATCTTCCTTTAATATGAGACTTCTCCACTGGTAAATTTTAATGTTTCAAATGGAGAGATATAAAACATTAAACTGTCATGGAAATACAATTTATGGAATGAAAAAAACAAGAGTGAGCAAGACTCATTTATAATTAAATTATACATAATTAGGGAAAGATTAAAGTATTGATTTCTCTATCTTTTCTTCAAATACTTGATAGAGATACCCAATTTATAACATCTAAATGGTGGCAGTCTTAAGAACTTACTGCTAGCATTTCCCCCCAAAGCCTTTTTTTTGGAAGGGGGGGGGGATATACTCTATAAGATCCTGCTGAGGCTGATAGCACTGGGGGTGCTAAAAGTAATGCTACCTGCTCAGACCAATTTGCTGAGAATATGGGCAATAAAATTCCTAATTAGGGCATGATCTTTTACCTTCTCACAACCCATTACTTTCATGTCAACAGGATATAATCTGTACCAAAAAAGGGGGGGGGGTGCTGATTTTGCAGATAATGATTTTCTATCTTTGACCAAATACAACATGACCCACATCACACTCTAGAAGACTATCGGTAGAAAACAGCATGTCAACATCAATGATGCCAAAAGGCAGTTACCCTTTTAACATTCAGTAATAAAAACCAGGAAACTGAGCTCAAACAACTCCTAGAAACCTTAGTTTCTTAGTAAGTGGAAACTAAGAAACCTACCTGGGATGGGGGTTGAGAGGAAGATGAAAAGAATGGGAAGGGAAGGAAGTAGAGGTGATTTGTTTGGGACAGAAGAATTAGTATCTGATTTATAAGCACTGACTTAGGGAGGACTTGAGGAGTCTCTGTTTGCCTAATCAGAGCACTAATGCATCTGCTCAGAGGTAATTCCCTCAATGTTTGAGAAAAATTTACCATGGAGCCAAAGTTCTTTACTTTTGCTAGTAATGTGCCTTGTTGCTTTATTGACTCATAAGGGCTTTTATGCAAGAGGGGAAGATCAGAATGTACGGAACCTACATTTAGCTTTCTGAGAAAGAATGAAGTATCAAATAACCAACCTAAATACTTGGTCTTGGTTACACCTTCTAAAATCTCAACATATGGAAAAGAAGCAAAAAGGAAGCAACAATACTTTTAAAATATATGACGGTAGATATGTAAAAGCACCCTCTTACTTCTTGGGACAGGGTAATGAGCATGTTGAAAATAATCATGCAGCAGAACATTCCTTGCAATTATTATCCTTCCTCAATCACTTGAAGACACTCTCTAAGGCAGTGGTCACCAACCGGTGGTCTGTGGACCACTGGTGGTCAGTGAGGTCCAAAAGGTTGGCGACCACTGCTCTAAGGCATAAGCAATGGAACTGCCTCTGAAAACACTATTAAATGGAAAGTTTCCAAATCCACAAAAGAAAAAAGAAACACTTGGAAAATGAGAGACAAAGGAAGTGAAAGGCAAATAACCCACTCAAAGGCACAGAATTAGGTGAAAAGAAACTTGATACTATACTTTGGTTTTGCATTTTTGTATTCTTCAGTGTCTGTGTCCTCGTCCTCTGAGTACCAATTATCTCCTCTTCCTCCAGTCAAGAGGCCCCTGGCCGCCAACAGTCCTGCAGCATTTCCATAGCCAGTGTATTTCAGCAGGCTATCCACTGCAAAAACAGAACAGGTTTTAGACAGGAATCCTTGGGTGTGCACTAGCATCACTGACTACTCACCAACACCGGGACATTGGAGAATTAAAATGGAGAATTTTTCAAAGTGTGGTTGGTAGTGGTTACACTATGTGCTCTGAGGACCAATCTTTTTTCAGGTTTCTGAAATTCAAACAGCTGATTTGAATATACTTTGTTGCGGAAGTGGGGCCTCTCTGACCACCAGGGCATTGATTGGTAAGGGTGCTGTTTTAAGTTTTTGTTCACAAATCTTATTTCTTTATCCAGTTTTAGAGAAATGATGATTAGAAACGAGTTACTGGCATTTTACCAATATCGCACATCATGTAAAATTTTTCTTACACCCTTTGTAGGAACTGAAGGGAAAGAAAATAAGAAAACTTAAGGATATTAGCAAATAGAATGGGCTAAGTTACTGCTTTTTAAAAAAAAGTCAGCAATCTATATATGTAAAAGGTTAATATGCTAAGTGTCTGAGTGTCCGACCGGTTGGTATGATGCACACTGACCACCAGGGAGCAGACGCTCAATGCAGGAGCTGCCATGATGCACACTGGCCGGCACCATGGACCTGGAACCGACACACCAACACTCAGCTTCCCCCAGGTGGGACACAGGCCCCGCCATCACCTAGGAATAACACCCCACCAAATCGCAGCCAACACTGCCAAGACCCCATGGCACAAAATGGGGCCCACAGGCCAGTCCAGCCCAGAAACGGTCGCTGTGGGTGCCAGGTAATGACGTCATGTAGCAACACCCGGCTTCCTCTCCCTAGTGAGGACTAGCCTCTCTGCAGTTTCTTCAGCCCAGGAACATAACTTGCTTTATAACCAGGTGCAAACATTTCACAATTTAACCAAATGTCTGTGAAGCATTTTCCCGTGCCTCATCTCATTTGATCCTCACAGAAGTCCTGGAATAGGTAGATAGGAGACTTGGGGGAATCCTATTCTCTTTTCATTAGCCATAAAATGGAGATTTAGGACATTTAGAAACTTGACCCGACTGAAAGAAGTAAGAAATGGTGGACCTTGAAAATGACTTCAGGTTTCTCACTGTGCAGAATATAGTCAAACACTGCTGCAGTTAAATATTTTACCCTTTGTTACCCCTGCGTGATCTACAATAATAATCTGCTTTGTGTTGATATTTATTGCTGTGTTGCTGACAATTAACTGAAAGAGAAGTTGGGGTGCTTCACTGGGCTGGAAAAAGTTTAGCTTAATCAGAAAGCAGGTCTAATTAAGCAAGTTTATCCTATCCTATATAATAAGAGTCCAATATGCTAAGTGTCCGGTCATCCATTCAACCAATCAAAGCGTAATATGCTAATGATATGCTAAGGCGGCTCAACCACTCGCTATGACATGCACTGACCACCAGGGGTTAAACACTCCGACCAGTAGGTTAGCTTGCTGCTGGGGTCTGGCCAATTGGGACTGAGAGAGATGGGCCGGACATGCCCTGGAGCCCTCCTGCATCCCTCCCCAGCCCAGATCATGCACCAGTGGGGTCCCTCGGCCTGGCCTGTGCCCTCTTGCAATCTGGGACCCCTCGGGGAATGTCGGAGAGCCAGTTTCGGCCCGACAGCGGAACGACCGGTCGCTATGATGCGCACTGCCCACCAGGGGGCAGACGCTCAGCGCTGGAGCTGCCCCCTGGTGGTCAGTGCGCTCCCACAGGGGGAGCTCCACTCAGCCAGAAGCCAGGCTCATGGCTGGTGAGCGCAGTGGCGGTGGCGGGAGCTTCTCCCACCTCCGCAGCAGCGCTAAGGATGTATGACTGATGGCTTAGGCCTGCTCCTAAGCCATCAGTTGGACATCCCCCGAGGGCTCCCGGACTGCGTGAGGGTGCAGGCCGGGCTGAGGGTCCACCCTCCCCCTGAGTGCATGAATTTTGTGCACTGGGCCTCAAGTATATACATAAAAGGCTAAGTTGATTCGCACATGCACGATACATATAAAGCTCTCACTGGCACCAACTGCAGGTGTGTGTTTCTGTCACTGTAGATCGTGAATTTGGTTGACATTTCTATTATAGAGAAAGAGCGAATAGCAATATTAAAATATTTCTTCTAATTAATTTCCTTTCAATGTGCATGAATTCGTGTACTGGGCCACTAGTAAAATATATGAAAACACACAGAATCCACTGAGTAGGGAGGCTCGGGAGTTAGGCTTGCTGGATTTCAATAATGAACACGTACTAGCTGGTTGACCCTGAGATGTTATTTTGCAGCTCTGTACCCACATTTTCTAATCTGGAGAATTGGAATAATATCTACCTCACAGGTCAACACATGCAAAGTGCTTAAAAAAGTGTCTGGCACAAAGTATTTTCCTAGTCATATAGGTGAAATGATCACTGATCATTTTCTGACTTAATCTTACTGGTAGTCAACCCAAATAAACAAGCCCCAACGAAGCATTTGGCGCAGATCCCCTCTAAGTAATACATTGCTTGTCACCAATGTAAGGTGATTATCTCTAAGAGAAGCAGACATGTAACACTTTTTCAGGAAAACCTTGAAGTGTAGGAGTTTTCCTTTGTGTGTATGGTTTCTAAGCAACTTTAAGGAAGATACTGAGCAATCACTAGCAGCTTTATATAGAAGTACTTTCTTTCCTTCAGACAATTTGAAGGTGAACACTAAAATATTCAATCAAAAGATAAAAATCGGCAAAACTTACTTAAGGCTTTCAATAAAATGGCAACTAAAGACAACTGTAGGAAGCAAAACAACACTATCCTATCCATGTGTAAGGCCTCAGTAAAATCTACATCTGAAATACACTGGAATTCATATCACTTACCTCAAAAAGATAAAATAAAGCTGGAGAAGATTCAGAGGAGAGCCCTGGCTGGTTTGGGTCAGTGGATAGAGTGTTGGCCTGTGGACTGAAGGGTCCCGGGTTTGATTCTGGTCAATGGCACATGCCTGTGTTGTGGGTTTGATCCCCGGGCAGGGGGGGGGGGCATGCAAGAGGCAACCAATCAATGATTCTCTCTCATCATTGATGTTTCTGTCTCTCTGTCCCTCTCCCTTCCTCTCTGAAATCAATAAAAATATATTAAAAAATAAAAGATTCAGAGGAGAGCAATTAAAATAATTCTGGGAACTAGAAAGGGGCAATGGATAGGGAAATAGGTGGGAAAGGACAGAGGATAACTGTGATAAGAGTATGAAATTATGAAGGGTGTGAATAGAATAAATAGACCAACCAGGAGAGAGTTGGCCATTAAATTTTCAAATACTTGAACTACAGGGTAGCTCCCTTGACAGTAAAAATAAAAGGAAGTCCTGCTTTCAAAGAATATAGCAAACTGGTGAAATTTATGCAAAAAGAAACATGTATTAATAATATAAGTAGTGCTCGCTTCAGCAGCACATATACTAAAATTGGAACGATACAGAGAAGATTAGCATGGCCCCTGCGCAAGGATGACACGCAAATTCATGAAGCGTTCCATATTTTAAAAAAATATATATATATAGATATATATGTAGATTAAATACAGTTTACACTCTAAGTTTCGACCATTTGCTACCTTAAAAACCTATTGGTAACTATGGTTTCTTTGGTAATAATTCTCAGTGGGTGCTCAATAAAATCATATTACAATTTAATGAGAGATCATGGTGGTGTAATTTGAAAGCCCTCGGAATACATCTGATCTGCTCTCTCTTGCATTCAGAGCTTCTGCAAGATGAAGTGGTTTAGAGAAATCAAAGAATTCTTAATGGGTTATTAGGAAAAGTGAATATCCAGTGTATACAGGTATTCTTAATATTCATGGAATCAGACATGACCTTAATGACACAGTCACTGAGGTCAAAGGATCATAGATCTGAACCCACATGGCATACTCTCTCACTGAATGCGTTTTTTATAGGGTTTATTATTATTATTGTTTTTTTAACAAATAAGGATGTTTAGTGGTCCAGAAAAGAAATATTCACTGAAATTGTGGAAGTCTAAAGTGAGATATGAATAAATGGTCTAAATGAATATACCCAAAAACAAAATAACAATAAAAAGACACAAAATGTAACCACCTACAATAGCTAAAGATGAAAACAGTTTAAGAATTCAGAGTTTATCAAAGTCCAAAATAGATGAAAAAGAAGTAAACAGAACACTAAATAACCTGCTTTCTTATGCAGATTGTCTTCCTGGAAGCCAGTTAATAGAAAAATTTCCTAGCACTTTCATGAAAATAACGCTTACTTCTCATTCACTGGAACAAACATGTGCCAACTCTCTGACAGCTTCAGTTACAGAGACAATTTAAGACCCACCTTGTCTTAATAGCCTCAAAGCAGATGAGGCTATAGCCAATAGTTTTAAAATAAAATGAACTTTTGTTAATAGCATAAAATACTTAAAATGGGGGTTGGGTTGGGAAGACAAATGGACTACATAATTCTCATAGTAAGAAGCATTTTCCTTGTGAAGTTCTGACTGATATTATATATTTTCAGTCTTTGGTCAGGAATTTGCATATGCGAAGGACTTAAGTAATACACTGATTTTCAACTGCACCAATGATTGGCGCTCCTAACCCCCACCCTGCTGAAGGGTCAACTATATTTGGTGGGGTGTTTCTAGCTACTTTTTCGTCTACTTTCAAATACATTGTATAACATCCTATTTGATATTGGGAAAATAGTAAAAAGGAAAATGGACTGAACTTGAATGGTAAGGTGAGCTGCTAAAGGCAAAGAAAAGATATTCTGTTTAAAAGAAAAAGAAACACAAGTATATGTGTTCTTTGTCATGGTAACCATCCATACAGTTAGGTGAAACTGCTACAAAAATGAAACAAATAGCACTCAGAAAGTTGCAAGAAATATCTCACCATTATGTTATCAAGATGCCAGAGGGCACTATGAACAGAGGAAAGCAAACAGCAGCACACTGCAAAGTCAGAGCGACACTGGCAGTCACGGTATCACTGCTTCCACAAACACGGGTATTATCACACTCTACCATGAAAATGAAAATGAGGTTTAGCCCTTTTACCAAGGAAAAAGAATGGCAGAGCCACAGTCTACCCAGAGGCCCTTCCCCCTTCTCTGTTACACATAATCCTTTCCTTCCAAATACTTCTAGAAATCCTACCTATACAGTGGTTCTCAACCTTCTGGCCCTTTAAATATAGTTCCTCATGTTGTGACCCAACCATAAAATTATTTTCGTTGCTACTTCATAACTGT